ACACACACACACACACACACACACACACACACACACACACACACACACACACACACACACACACACACACACACTCCCCTGAACTGTAGATGAAAAAAATCCCTAAATTCATTGTAATTGTACATTGAGAACCGTTGTTCTTAAACTTTCGGAGTCTTTGCTCGTGCAGATGTTCACAAAGTGCTGAAGCTCGCCCCAACCCCAATATGGGTTGAAAAAGATTTGCAAATCATTGTATTTTGTTTATGTTTTACAAAATGTCCCAACTTCATCAGAGTCAGGTTGTACTTTTAGCTCCGCTTTGGATATTTCTAGCTGTTGCTACTTTTAGCTTTTAGTTAACCTTTAGTTAAATTAGATTTTTTTGTTGGTCTTTCATTACTTTTGGCCTTTAGCTAGCATTAACATTTGGTTACCCATTAGATACTTTATCTTTTAGCTTGACTACTTTTAGATAGCCTTTTGTTAATTTTACATTGCTGCACTTAGCTGTCATTTTTTCAATATTTAACTATTACAGAGTCTTTTGATAGTTTTTGTTAGCCTTGTGCTACATTTAGCGTTATTCGGTTCAGTTCAGTTTATTTATGCAGGACTAATTTACAGCAAAAGTCCTCTCAGGCCACTGTACAAAAACATTTACACACATGACAAAATGAACAAAATCAAAAAATCTGTAAAAATTATCTAAAGAAGCCAGCAGATTGTGTTGAATCTTCACCTCATCACAGTCTCCATTCATGAGTCACACCTTGGTGACGGTGAAAAGGAACAACTCCTTTTTAACAGGAAGAAACCACCAGCAGAACCAGGCTCAGGAGGAGCGKCTCTCTGCCTTGGTCAACTGGACTTTTACCTTGCATTTTATATAGTTTTTAGCTAGTGTTATTCTTCTTTTAGCTTCACTATTCAGTTTTAGAATTTCAGCAAATWTCAGTAAAGATGTAGCATTCATAGCATTCAGGATTCTCACTGCACTTCTGYAGTTTTTGTCGTTCTTTTAGCTGTGTGGAAATGATTGAAGTTTTATCTTATTTTGCCTTCATTAACAGTATGATATCACGYACGTTTTTTTAGACAGCTCCGTTTTTAGCTTCTGTTTCTTGCGTTTGTGGTGGCAAATGAGAATGATGATAAGGATGACCATTAAGAGAAACAGCGCAGCGGCCCCGCATCCTATGTAGATCATGATCATTTTATCAGGCTCTGTAACAGTGTAAGGCCCTGTAACAGAAGAGAGGTGAGGTTAGGATGTATATGAACACACATGTAGTCTCACAGGTTTTATTGCCATGACACTGTGTCAGAGTACCATGKTGACAGTTCTGTCATCTACCTTTCAGAGCAATCGTCACCGTCGCCTTTGCTTCACCCAATTTGTTCTTTGCCATGCACTCATATGTGCCCCCGTCTGAGAAGTTCAGGGGTTGGATAAAAACTAGTTCGTCACCAGTAACTTGAGTTCCTTTCGGCAGTGCTCCACCCTCCCTGCAGGTACAACAAACACAGGGAGAAGGCACATGGCAGTCGTTAAATCAACTGTCTGTTTCAAACCTGGACAGTATCTTTAGAAAAGATATGAGAGACATGAAAGATCCAGCTTCTCATTTTTTTAATCAGTTTATTAAAAAGGAAAATGTTTGGCAGAAAAGTGCAGGAATGAGATTATTCCAAGCAATAGAATATATCTAATCTAATGCTGTGTTCACACCGAAYGSGATTTCAGCATCAAAATTGCGCTTGTGCACTTTGAGATCAGAAATTGCTCTTGAAGTGCTTGATGTCGAGAGCCTCCCTGCCCCCTCCCTCCTCCGTCGGTCTCTGTTTAATGTCGGGTAAAATAAGGGAAGTGGCTTTGCTTTATTTACTGAATGCAAGAGAATGTTGCGCTCATTAGTTAATTATTTCATAATTAATTCACCAGATAATTCAGAGACGTTCTGAGTTTGGTGAGTTTCATCACCCAGGAGCAGCGAGCTGACTTGAGGCTTGCGGCTCGCTTTCAGAACTATTGTTGTCCCGAGTCCAGTTTGATGAGCCGCTGACCTGCACCGGTGCCCAGATCTCCTGCCAGGACACTGACTAAAGGCACTTGATTTCAGCTAAAGAGCTCCTGTCCCTCTGTCTCAGCTAGTGGACATCATTCAGGAAACTGTCCCGTCAGAAAATCTGTCACTACGTCACACAGTGGAACCTCTCTGATTGGTTGATGCACCATGTCAAGCTGCAAAAGTTCAGATTTTCCATGTCCAGCATTCAAATCGCACTCAAATTGCGCCGCTCTAATCGCGCTTGACGCGCCACAGCACTCCCCGACGCTGTTTGATGCACGTCCACCAAAGACTTTGCATGTTAACCTGATGCTCCTGATGCTAAACGCATTTTGAGCATCTGAAATTTGCCCAATGCCTCAAGTTGGAAGCGTTACGTTCAGACCGGGACACAGACTAGACGCGCATCTGAACAGGGAGGAGCATCATGTTTTTTTTTCCGGTCTGTATTTAATGGCGAATGAAATAAAGATGAAATAAAGAAAATGGCTTTGCTTTGTTTACTAAGAGCAAGAAAACGTTGCACACACCAGATAATTAATTTCTGTTCGGTGAGTTTCACCACCCCAGGAGCTGCGAGCTGATGAACTATTTTTGTCCCGAGACCAGTTTAACACCACGSTCAGTTTAATGAGCCACTGACCCACATYGGTGCTGGTATCTCCWGCCAGAACACCAACTACAGATGGTCGATTTCAGATAAAGAGCKCCTGTCCRTCTGTTTCAGGTAGTGGGCAACATTCAGGAAACCGTCATGTGGAAAAATTATGCTCTCTGATTGGCTGACATGGCACGTCGAGCAGCAAAAGTTCAGAATTTTGAACTCGAGTGTCGGCTGCTTTGGACGCACTGCATGCACGTCAACACTCAAATCACACATACCACTTCACACCTCACCGCGCTAAATGCTCTAGATGCGCCGCAAGACCCCTAGACGTGTGTCCACCATAGACTTTGCATGTAAACCGGCCGCTCCTGCAGCTCAAAACGCGTTCAGTGTGAACGTAGCATTGACTCGCGTCTGACCTCAAAGTGCACAAGCGTCCAACTTGAAGCGTTGGACGCGATACTGAATCTGAAATCTCGTTCGGTGTGAAAGCAGCATAAGACTGTCTGACAAATGCCTTTTAAACAAAGCTTATCAAAAATTATTCTCCTCGTTTTTGGCCAAACTGCCTTGTTGACTTATTATATCAGCTGTCTCGTTGAAAATTCCACGGTGGCATTTCTGGTTTTGTTGCAATGTGTTTATTGTGTCTTGAAGTCACTGTACTTCTGTTCTTTAGTGGACAATAAAGTATATCTTAACTTATCCTGTACCTGTGGAGCACCCCCACAGTTTACCTCAAGGAACATGGTTGAATGCCTTCTTCCAGTCCACAAAGCACAAGTAGACTGGACTGGCACACTCCTATGACCTATCAAGGACCCTAACGTGGGTAAAGAGCTGGTGAAGTCAAAAAGAAAAAAATTGTATAGGTCCTCTGGACGGGTTCTTCTCTAATGAAACGTTTCGTCTCTCCTCCAAGAGACTTCTTCAGTCTGAGAGTTTCAGGCAAAATTCAGGCTTTTAAGCACTGCCTCCATGTGACTGATACTCTCTGGTGAAGTGAGCTGGTGAAGTGTTCCATGGCCGGCATGGACCCCACATTTTACCTCCTTAAAAACTCTCTTCTCCAGTACCCCTGAATAGATGTTATTGAGTAGGTTAAGGAGAGTGATGCCCCTATAATTAGAACACCCCTCCCCCAGGTTCCCTTTTTTAAAGAGGGGAACCACCAACCCAGTCTGCCAATCCAGTGGCACTGCCCTCGATCTTCTTGCGATGCTGCAAATGTGTGTCAACCAAGACAGTGGACAGTAAATATCTTTTATTTAACTTAAAAATTATCTAAATACTACTAGAGCCTTAACCTGTTGAGTCCGGTGGGCCCACCAGAGAACTGAAGGAGAAAATATTTCTAAAAACCCTGTGGGCTCAAAGGGTTAAGGAAATCAGGGCAGATCTCATCCACCCCTAGAGCCTACTGCCATAGWGCTTTTCAGCCCAAGTTATGGACAGACTAACCATGAATTCCTCAGACTCTGCTTCTTCCATGGAAAATGTGCCGGTGGGATTGAGAAGGACTGAGAAGTATTCTTTCTACATCCCAATGACATCACTAGTTGAGGTCAACAGCACCCCACCTTCACTGTACACAGTGTTAATAAAGTGCTGCTTTCCCTGCCTCAGCTGCTGGGTGGTTGACCAGAATCTCCTTGGAGCCAATCGAGGTTCCTATTCCAAAGCCTCACTGAACTCCTCCCACATCTGGGCTTTTATCTCAGCAACAACCAGGGCTGCGGCCCGCTTGGCTTGCCGATACTCCTCAGCTACCTCTGGAGTCCTACCAGCCAATAAGACCTGATAGGACTCCTTCAACTTGACAATCTCCCTAACCTGTGCACTTTTAGCACATTTAGCCCACTAAATGTGCTAAAAGACCTTTTGGGTTTTGTCTTTGTTCCATTAAAAAGGACTCCATCCATCCATCCATCCATCCATCCATCCATCCATCCATTTTCTGTACACGCTTCTTCCTTTTCAGGGTTGTGTGGGTCACTGGTGCCCATATCCAGCAGTCACAGTGCGAGGGGCGGGGTACACCCTGGACAGGTCGCAAGTCCATCACAGGTTAAAAAGGACTATTTTAGTTAAATAAAAAGGTTTGACTTGTCAAAAATTAAGTTTTAGAAATGCTGGATTACAGATGTATTTGATTTGAACAGTCAGTGTTTTTCTTGTTAAAGGTAGTAGCTCACTAAGCTTCGAATATGACGGCTAGTTGGTCACTCAAATTTAAGAAAAAAGCTTCGAAATGTTTTACTATGTGCAGCAGACTGACCCGTATACTTGATTGTCTGACACTAAATTTAAAAATACAGATATATAAAGATAAAAAGCACGTCATCCACTGATAAGTCTGTTTCACAATGCAACAAAACAACAGATCACCACCAACAGCAGAAACAGAGATGTTCAGCACATAAAAATAGAGATACATTGTGTGCAATTGTGCTTTTTGTCAGGACTGAAATACATACGAGTGAACCTGACAGTTAATTTAGTTGTCATCATTCTTTGCTAAGAGCTTCAGTTTTTCTCATTTGTAAGGAAATCAAGAGAGCAAGTCAAATTTGCCATTTCTTCTACTAATCTCTTTTTAGTACAAGTCATTCAGTCCGCAGTGACTCAGAACTTCAGCAGGTGTGAAGGGTGTTGCCACAATGTTGTTGTTGTCCTTCGAGTACATTTCAGTCACTTCAAACACACTGGGACTTGACTTCTGCCACAAAAATTCATGACTGTGAAGGAATTTAGTGGGGTGTTTACTACTGACTTAAAAGACACTACACATTGTATAGTCTTTTACTAGGTGAACAGCAATATATTTCTATAATGTGGTTATCTCTGACTTAATTGATGATTTTATGTGCAGACTGAGTTGTGTGAGGCTCTTGATCAGGGTCTCACAGACTCAGGAAGCTGTTAGTAGATGCATGTCTAACTTAAAAACAACACATAAATAAGAACTGTAATGAACCATTAGGGTGAGAGGCAATGTCTGACATTTTGACTCCATGTAGAGATAGGCTGCCCCTTTAATTTATGTCATGAGGTGGAGTCAGGATGTGAAGAAGGCTGTTACACGATGTGTGTTTCTTGGTTTTGGAAGCACTGCTTAGCTGATGCCTGTTGGAAGGCACATTAAAAGCTAATCAATCCACAGCTGTGTCCGAATGGTTTTGTATGGCTCACTCAAACATTCACGTCGTTATTATTATCTGGGATCAGATCAGAACAGGTAAAGGATAACGAACACCGCTTATATTTTAACAACTGGTTTGAAGCAAACATTTCTATGGAGGCTATAATAAGCGTCACACAGAGCAGACTCTGAGAGGTCCAGTGTCACCATCAGATAAGAGGACTGTTTTTACTTCCTCACATCAGTGATAACATCTCCAAAAACTCGTTTGACAAAAACCACACATTTCGCTTCCTCTTTGCCCTTTTGGCCCCCTCATGGCCAACTCCACCCCATTTCATTCACCTCTCCTTTTACCACTCATCCCTTCTCCTTTTCTTTCTAACCCCCACATTCCACCCTCCTTCGTGTGAAACTGTCTAATCTGTCTGCTTTTAGCACAAGCTGCAACATGACACGGTGACACAAGTTATTACTTCACCTGCCGCCATTTACTCCCAACAGGTTTACCTGCTGCACTGGCTGTCGCACACGGTGAGTTTGAGTGCGTCGGAGGTGTTTTGTAAGCATTACTCACAAAATGTTTCTGTGACTAATTTAAATATCATCATCAACACCTGCTCACRAAAAACACCAGCCATTTCATAATTCCTTTCAGAGGCAGATACACTGATTCTATAGGTGTTTCCGCCCCACAGGGTAAGTCGTCACCTCCCATAATTAAGTGGGAACTGTTGCGCTTTGTTTTTGTAGAAAACATTTTTTCTAGCATGCACCACGCCCTGAAAATATTCTGTCCACCAAAAGACATAGGTTACAAAGARGTGGCTCAAACAGAAAAAGTCAAGCGTGCGAGTGAAACTCTTATCTGGTTTTAAAGCTGCGTCTGATTCAGCTACGCATTSAGATTTGTTCAGCCAGTTGCTGCTTTTGAGGCAGCATAATCAGGAAGTGCAACTTCTGTTTTGTAGGTGAGTGAAGAAACAAAAGAGAAAGAATTTTAGATGAGGATCATCTTATATTGAGAAAAGGACTGTAGTCAAACATCTTTAGTCTTATCAGTCTATATCTTTAACTGATTACTAGCATTTCAGTTTTTAGTTCTAGCTAATATTAGCCATGTGGCAGCCATCTTGAAATAGGGTGACTCAAAAATTTTTTTATCCAATCCAATATTTACTCGTTGAGTTTCAGTTAAATCCATCCAGTGGTTCATGAGATATTTTGCTAACATACAAACAGGGTTTATGTCATTGTTTAATGCCAAAGTTTTATGCTAAATGACATGAGCTTTTAAAATAAAGCCAGACCGTGGAACCTAAAGAGGCATGGAGCAGAACTCAGCAGTGCAGCATCTGACAAACTACAGATTAGTTCGGTTAAAGTCAAAAAGCACACTGAAAAAAAAAAATAATTCACTGGAAATGTTTTGGACCACTCCCCCTTGCACGCACACCTACACATCTGTTGCTACTACACAAATTTTTAASTCAACATTTGTAAAATTGACAGTTATAATTTTGGGGTTTTCTAATGCTCAGTCATTAAGGGTGTCATTTCACACATTACACAAAATTATTACAGAAGTTATTCACCAGATTTTGAAACTCAAATTATAGATATCTGATCATAATGCACACTTGTTTGGAGAAAATCAAACAAGGCAATTCTCACACCAACTATCAAGCACAGAGGCTTGATGATCTGATGGGTAATGGCTGAAAACTGAAGAAAAAGCATCATGGCGTTGCGAAATCAACATCCAGTGCTCAAATCCACTGAAATGTTGTGGTAACACCTAAAAAAAGTGTTGCATAAAAGAGCAACATCACATCTCAATAAAGTGATGCAAGAGTGGGCCAAAACACCCTCTGACTGATGGAAGATACTGATAAAGTCACACTCAAGGCAATTATAGAGAATTATTTCCACAGAAGGTTGTTCCACAAGCTGCTGAATCACCTGGAAGACTGTTTTTTTACAAACTTTTCTAAAATCTGGCTTTGCTTTGTTTCTACAAAAATGTGTTTGTGTAATATGTCACATGTTGTTTGTTGTTCATAAATAAAAGGTCACGTGGCTGTAACGGTTTTGTGTTGTTTTTGTGCAGTTTTTTCAAAATATCTCAGGAACCAGTGTATAGATTTTTTTAAATTAAATTCTTATACAATGGCCACCACAGTAACTGACCTTCAGAAACACAATAACTATGTTATACTATAACTGCAAAGCAGTTATGACCGGGGTCCAAGTCTGTTCAGCCAGTTTGTCAGATACTGGGATTCTGTTTGTAGTGGTGGTAGCTGACTGTCACCCTCAACACACACTCCCAACACTGAGCATTCAGAGATCTTGTAATATTGCATGGTGTGTTGCATAATATAGTTTATGCTGGTTGTTTAAATATAACTACAACTCATCAGATGATCTTAGTTTAAAACTCTGGTTTGACATGTGGTGGATAWTTCACTCATACAGGTCTTCAAGGAATGTTAGGCCTTAAATACGAAACTCAGAACAAAAATTTTCATGTCCTTATATTAAAAAAAAACATGAGAATTAATTAAATCTGGACTTAAATTTTACAATGACTACATCTATCTAAAAGTGGACTGGACAGGGGGTTTAGAACTGGAACAGTTTAAAACCTTTCCAACACTGGGTGTCCTAAAACTCTGGGTAGTAATAACTGTAAATGGGTTCTCTTCGAGCCTTGGGGACATCCTAATGTTATCTTCACCAAACTTGTTATTTAAATCCGTGAACTCACTGGACAAATAAGTGGCGTCRTTTCTCTTGGTGAATGAAGGAAAGCGACAGTGACCAAACACATCAGACACTCAGTCATGTAATCATCAGACAGAAAGGCAGGTGAGTCTTGCTTTACCTGGTCCAAGTAACAACTGGTTTGGGGTTTCCTCCATTTATGCACCTCAGGACAGCATTCTCCATACTAACAGTCCAGTCTTCTTTGTATCCGTACACCTCAGCAACCGGAGGGACTGGAAGGAAAAATAGTTTTTTATAAACTTTATTCAGTCCAGACAAGTGAAGAAAAAAGGGAGGTAGTGCTTATAATAAAAAAAAAATTGGACACTGTTTGTCTACAGATGGATTTTACTGCTTATCCTTCAAACCCTTACATAACCTTGCTCTTAAACACATCAACTTTATTGACMACTGAGATCCACAACTTTGCTAAATATTCCCAGGTCCTGATTTCTCACCTCAGTTACTCAGTATGATCAGATTACATATGTAACAAAGGCGGTCCAGCCTGCTCCACTCAAATCTCTATTTTGTGTAATTTTCCACCTACTGAGCACAGACAGATTCAATCTCCAACTTCAAAACCAACTTTAAAAATTTTGTGATAGCATGTGGCAGTCTGACCCTTTAAAAAATCTGCAGTCTTTTTTAAGCCACCTCAGTAGAAAACAGAACTTGATATTAGTTTCCTCATATGTGACTTTTTTTTAGAGAAGTAAATCTAGAGAAGAAAAAGAAAGAGAAGAAAAAGGAAAAATGTAATRGGAAAGGCTGAAAGAGAGATTAGAAGATATGTGAAATACTGTATACAACAAGAAAACACAAGACAACACACCCAACATCTGTCTGCACATCTGTAAAGATGGAGAA